ACGCCTCCTACCGGCTGGCGGGCATTTTCAAAATTATCGTCTTAACAAACTGTGTGACCAATATTACATTACTGTTCACCGCTTTGGGCTCCTTTTCAAGATATTCGAACAGATGGTAACGAGCGATCCAAAATGGGTATTTTTAAAAAATCTTATCCACCGAAAACAGTGGGTACCGCAAGGTCAAGAGGTTCAAGCAGAGGTTCGCCAAGTTCAATTTGAAAAAAAAAGAAAAGATTATGCTTTGTGTTTGGTGAAATTATTAGGGTGTTTTGCACTTTGAACTGGTACCAGATGACAGGGCTATTTACGCAGAGCTTATAACGTTGTGGGAGCGTGTATTTATAACGTTGTGGGATTAATATGATGGTTATAAAAAATAAAATAAAAAGTCTGTATCCGTTAAACATGAAAGATCCTTATATTAATAACAAATTAATGAATCGAATATATCTTATAAATGGTTACAACTAATTAAGTAAGGAAAAGGGAATATTTTCTTATGATAGAAAGTAATTAAGTGTAAAGTTATTTTTTGGTTTCCTTTTCACTGGACAAGTTGTATAGTATAATGTAACGAACCTTGATGAACGAACACCACTCCACTAGAATTCTTCACTAGCAGTTTTTTGTCTTGATAACGTCACACACTTTTATTTTTACTTTATCTTCTTTCTACAGTTGCAAGCGACCGAGTAACTCCAAATCCAGCGTGGCTTTCCTTAGGCCTGCCGCCGTCCTCTTGTCTGCCTCCTCAATCTTTGGAACTCTGCCTTATTGATTAATTATGTCGCTTTGGCGGCATTTATGAAATGGCTTTGTCATAAGCTTCACTGAGAACAACTCGAAAGTGGATATTTGGTTTTAAAAGAGAAGTACCCTGCTTTGCTCAATCGGGATAAAGCGATATTTCAGCAAGACAACTCTGCCCATCGTTCGCGTTCAGCCAAAGAAAAATTTTCTGAAATGAAGGGCATCTTATCCCACGCTCTTTACAGCCTTGATTTCGTCTGACTATCGTCTTTTCCGGCCAATGGCGCATTTTTTTGAAAGTTAGGAATTCGAAAACTACGAGGACGTCAAATTATGATGTGCGGAGTTTTTCGTCTCGAAAACCATGGACTCGCATCACCACCTTGCCATCAACATCTGGCAGAAATATGGGCTAAAATATTTGATAATGTTGCCATATATTTTGAGGAATAATTTTCACACATTTTTATACTGAAATTTAAATAAAAACTTAATTTATGCACAAAACTTTTTGTAATGGCCTAGTATTAATATAATTAATTTCAATTAATTAATCTTCATATAAGGTTTTGGTCGAGATAAAAAAGTGTCACGAGCGGGATTCGAACCCATGACCTTCGGCTATATACGCCGTGGTAGGCCAACGGCGTATTTAGCGGAAGGTCGATAGTTCCAATCCCCCTCGTAACACCGACTTTTTTTATCTCGACCAATACCTTACATAAAGATTAATTAATTGAAAGATGTTATTTGATCAATCGGACCACAAAATCTAATGAATATAATTAATATTGAATTTGATTATAATTAACAATTAATAATTATATTGTTTTAATATATATTGCAAATTTCTCACTTCATTCTAAATTATTAGTTTGCTTCATTGTTTTTTTTAAATTATTATTATAAATATTTTTAAATATATGCCTTTATAATTTTCCTGTATACATTTGTAATTGGGAAACCATAAATAAATAAATACTTACTCTCGTTATGTTTTTTGATTGAATTTTATCTGTTATCTAATGTCAATTTTTGTTCATTGCGCAAAGAAAAAGAGAAAGTAGTATTGAATTGCTTTTTAACGGTTAGGTATATGGAAAATATGCCTTTTTTTATTCCAGCAGTTGCTTGTAGGTTTCTTGTATAAAATCTTTGTAAAAATCTAGGAAACGTGGTTCAATGTTGAGTCGCCCGGTTTTTTTCATTGTTAGCCTGGATCATTAGCCATTCTTCCAGAATATGATAGTAGATTTACTTCATTCCACGTAGAGCATGAACGGTCGCATGACTCGCGTTATCCCCCGGCGAGCCGATCGCGCATTAGCACTAATTCAGTTATTCATGAGGTTCCGCCTAGTCTCGCTCTGCACGCGTGATGTTTTATAGTGCGCAACGTTGGATAATTGCATGACCGCTACACCCTTCCGAGGCTTGTGTTTTGACGTTGCATGAGTCACTACGTCCTTCCTTTAATGATATTGTTTACAGTTCTTAGTCACTGTTTATCAATCAAATCGATCCGTTCTGAACAGAGAAGAAAAGAGCGAGCACTTGACCGCTTTCCAAATTGCCTAGGAAATTGTTGAAAAATCAAACTTGTTTGTAAATAACTTATTTTTGTTCACGTTTCACCAGACAAGTTTAACGGTTTATGTTATATACTGTTCGTTTTTCTGCTTTATCAATACGATATCCTGCCGACTGAATGAATGTAGGGTGGACATGATGAGTCAGCTGGTAGAGAAAACCGACTGCGGACACACGAACACTTATTAGGCACTCCGGACCAAACGAGAATCATTGGTGGAGGTTATTAGATAGTTACTACTATTTATCTTTAACTTAGCCTATGATTTATCTGAGGGATGTACTGACAAACCTTAAAGTGCTCATAGTACCACTTTTGATTACACTGTACTTACACTAATCACTATTCTCGAACTAAACCAACTTTTTGAACCGGCCTATTATCCCGACCTATCGCACTCACACAAGAAAAGTGACACAAATTGAAAAATTCTAAAACTCAAATTAGGTAGTTTTTTTAAGTATTCGGGTGTGTTATGTTACAGGAAAAATGTTACAACTGTCGGTGAACTCTTAGCAGCTAAGCAGCATTATGTGTCACTTTAATTTGCGGGAAAATACGAAAAGAGGCGTCTTGGTTCTCTGTCGAGCTTTAAAGCCTAGGTGTAAGAAATATACGTAAAAATGGCTTTTACGTCCCTTGGCCAAACTGATTCTAAATTTTTTGACAACCCACAACAAGGAAACTGCCATCAATAATGGTCATGAAGTCTGTCAGTTTTCAAATTCCACCTCTTTAGGGCAAAGTGCTGTCCATATGTATCTTCTCGTTGCACTTTGATAACGGGTAATGAGAAGAAAAGTTTGACCTATAATGCTGATAATTCTGGCTCATAAGATTTCACTTATAAATCTGTTAAGCATGAATGCTCAGCTTCAAAATTGTAGGTCTAAAAGTTACGGAAAATCAAAATATTGTAAATACTGAATTACCATTTAGTAATAATTTTTGAATTATTTTACTTTTCAATGTTACAAGTATTGACCACTTTTTCACTCGTGAACACTCTACTTCAAGGTATGGTCTTGAAGAAAAAAGCAAATTCAGTTGACACTGTCAAGGTTTCAACCTATTTAAAGGTCATCATCAGAGCCTACATTAATTTCACAATATTAAAAACCCATTACATATAGTGGTTAAACACAATTGTACAAATATGTTTTTCGTTATTTGAAATTGAATGTGCCCTGAAGATGACCGTAAAATAGGTCGAAATCTTGGCAGTAACAACTGAATTTGCTTTTTCAAGACCATACATTGATCTAAAAAGTTCGTGAATTATTTTAGTTTCATTTCTTTTATTTGAATAACATTCTTAATTATAATATTGTTTTTCATATTTTTTTAACAATATTGTCTTTTCAATTATTTTTACATTTTAACATTACATGCCAACTTTTATATTATTTATTATTACATTATTATTTATTATTACACCACAACTTTTACATTATTTTGCAGTTTGAAAGATTTTTAAAATTTCAATTACAATATTTTTAGTAATCAATAAACCCTTTATTTTAATAATTAATTTTGCATTTCAAGTAACTAATAAGACCTGTCTCGAGGAGGAAAGCACATTTGAGTCAAAATAATATCGGCAAAACTTAATAAATGGATATTTATGCTCGTTTGTTAGGTTTGTATGTTGCCTGTTACCATAACAAAAAATTAATTACCTTAAATTCATTCGTTGACCACCATTATCGTTTGGGAAAACTAACATAAATTAGTGAGAGCCAATATATGCAAGAAAAGTGTCACAGTTCAAAAAGGGGTTGTTTTTTATGGTAGTATAGTTGGATTTTTAAACTTTTGTGTTTTCACTTAAGCCCTGGAAAACTGAAACACAATATTGACGGTTCATGACAGTTTTTATTGCCAAAAACCGTAACACATAAGTCGAAAATAGTAAATTTCCGTTTCTGTCTCTGGTAAAATTTGTTTTGTCGTGTTGTGTCATTTTTCTTGTGGGTTTACGACATCAGCGATTGTATTTTGTTTGTTGTCTGTCTGTCTGTCTCTCTCTCTCTCTCTCTCTCTCTCTCTCTCTCTCTCTCTCTCTCTCTCTCAACATTAATTATATAAGCTCAAAGATTATCAAAGTCAAACAATTTATCGATATGCTTGTCTATCTATCTCAAAGCAGTTTTCGTACTTTCAAAAGAAAATATCTAAAATATCTGACAAACATATCATAAAGTCATGGAATCATAAATTAATTAATATTGTATTTTCAACTACTTACTCCCACACTCTCTCTCTCTCTTTCTCTCTTTCTCACTCTCTCTCTCTCTTTCTTTCTTTCTCTCTCTTTCTGTCTCTCTCTCTATCTCTCTCTCTCTAATTATCTATCCATCTATCTTTCTATTTGTTTATCTACTTATTTATTTATCAATCAGTTTCTTTCTCATTCTCACTCTTATTCTCTCCTTCTTTTTGCGTATTTCATTTTCTTTCTTTCCTCACTTTCTATTTATATATTGTATCTACATTATTATTGTTGACTACGTTTTTTGCAATTAGCTGAAATTTTCATTCAATTTAACACTAAAAACTTATTTTGTGACCTGAGCATTACATTAAATACATAAATTTTATGTAGAGGTTATTTGTTTAAATAAAATATTTAGTTATATACCTAAAATCTGACATCAAACATTTAATTTCAAAAAGAAAACCTCAACTCAAAAAACTTTGTCTTTCCAAGTGAAACAGCATCTTCATATTTTAGAATTGATGCACAGGTGATTATCTATGTAGATCGCTATAACATAAATTTTTTCATGTTTATTTAAGATTTAAAAAGGTTAAAACAAGCAAAAGATTACCTGAAGTAACATATTTAATCCATGATATGAAGTGATAAACTTCTATCGAGACGGAAGCCTCCAAGCAGTTGTCTCTTGCAAAAGACGCCACTCCAATTAACGAATATCTACCTGTTGACGGGTCCAACCACATCAACGGTCCTCCTGAATCGCCCTGTCGAAGAAAAAAACCCTGAGAATAAATACATGCCGCATTGTTCAACGTACAAAGCACATTGATGTCCCTCTCTGTTTAGTACAGATTTGGAAAGGATTTTTCCGGGCGATCAAATCCCCGTACTGGCAGCTTCTGAGGTCCACTGATTTCAGAGTCGTCATCTTCAGAACGTCCGAGGTCCGGTTTGACTTGTTACTGACCACACCCCATCCTGTCGATTAGAATTTTTATAACCTCCTGCGCTTTTTAGTTTTTAATAAATTACCCAAGTGTTTAAATTTCTTATGGATCGGGTTCACTCTTCTTTTCGAAAAGCAAACTGGGCCAACGGTTTTCCCATCGCCGAGGGGTGTGTCTATGAGAAGAATAGCCAAATCTGGGCTGGCTTTGCCGAAAGTGTATTCCGGGTGTAAAACTAATAATCTTATCCTTAACACACGATCAGGCTTAACTGAAAAAAATTGCAAAATTGGTCTACTTTCATGCCTTTTTACAAAAACGTGCGTAATAAAGTAATACGGTTAACAGATTGAAAGCCCTGTTATTACTTTGGGTGTAATTGTGGACTCCGACAACCACGCCGATCCTCTCGTGTCGAATTTCCTTTCTCATTTTGTCTGAAAGGCAGTGGGCCGCGGTGAGGACGTGGTGCCGGGATATAATCGTGCCTCCGCACAAATGCTGCATTTCCGGCATCAAAAGGATCCCGGCCATCATTGGCCACTCGTCCGGTCGGGTCTCAACACCTCCCAAAATCCTTGTACGGTACTAAATTTAACGGTTTAATTTCTATTTTTGGAATATTTAATTTTATATTTTTTAAAATATACCTTGTTTGTCCATCCACAATGGCAAAATTGAGCGTTGTCAGCAGATTTTGAATCGTCGGAGCAAACTTTCAATGATAAGGAAAGAATGCTAAATATCACAACAGCCGCCAGCTTCATGACCAATCTCTAATTTTAGAATTTAGTTAACAGGAAAGTTAAGCTATAAAGAATAATAAGTTTATTAACTTCTCTCAACCTCCCAGACTCTTTTTCACTCTCACTTTTTCCGCCTCTCTGTATCTTTTTGTTATATATCAATCTATTTGTGATGTCCACTCCATTCACTTATTTTCTCTCCTTTTACTCACACTGTCTTTCTTACTCTCTCTCTCTTTTCACAATCTCTCATTCCTCGGTTGATTCTTTACTCACTATCTATCTATTTATCTTCGTATCTACGTATCTCTCCCTTTCTCTTGATCTATTCATTTATCTACCTATTTATTTGTCTACCTCGCTCTTCTTTTCATTTTCACATTTGCTCTCTCTTTTTTACTCTCACATTCAATCTCGTTCTCTCCATCTTTATTTCTCTCATTCTAACTCTTTCACGCTCTTTTCTCTCTCTCTCTCTCTCTATTTATCTATTTGTTTATCTACCTATTTATTTGTGAATTATATATTGTATCTATTTATTTGCATTTATTTGTAACTCTCTCTTTTTTCTCTCTCTCTCTCTCTCTCTCTCTATCTATCTATCTATCTGTCTAACTATCTACTTGTTTATCTAACTATTTATTTGTCAATCTCTCTCTTTCCATTCTCAGTCTTATTCCCTCTTTCTTTCTTTTTGCATATTTAACTTTCTCCCTGTTCCCACTCTCTATTTATATGTTGATCTATTTATTTGCATTTATCTGTATCTCTCTCTCTCTCTCTCTATCTGTCTAACTATCTACTTGTTTATCTATTTATTTGTCTATCTCTCTCTTTCCATTCTCAGTCTTATTCCCTCTTTCTTTCTTTTTGCATATTTAACTTTCTCCCTTTTCCCACTCTCTATTTATATATTGATCTATTTATTTGCATTTATCTGTATCTCTCTCTCGTTTTTCTCTCCATTTTTCATTTTCACATTCATTCTCTCTTCACAACCTCTCTCTGTTTTCTATGTTGATTTCGCAATCTCTTTTTCTCTCTGTCAAACTCTCTCTCTCTTTCTCTCTGTCTCTGTAGACAAGTATTTCCAAATCTAACATTCATTATCTTTTTTAATTAATTTTTCTTATTTCTGTTACAATCTCTCACGCTCTCTCTTTCTATCTATCTTTCTAACTATCTGTTTGGGCATCTAACTATTTCTTTGTCAATCTGTGTCTTTCTCATTCTCACTCTTATTCTCTCTTTCTTTCTTTTTGCATATTTCATTTTCTCTCTTTTCTCACACTATATTTATATATTGCATCTATTTATCTAAATATATATGTAGCTCTGTCTCTCTCTTCTCACTCACTTTTTATCTATCTATTTATATATATTCATGTATCTCCCACTTTCTCTCATTCTGTTTATCTCTGTATTGGATTTGCCTATCTCGCTGTATCACTTATTTACAATTTGTTCATTTCTTTCCCTCTCTCTCATTCTCTCTCTCTCTCTCTCTCTCTCTCTCTCTCTCTCTCTCTCTCTCTGAACCATTAAAAACGGATTAAAAGATAATTTTGTATTAAAAAACAATTAAAGGGCAGCTTTTTGCTTTCTTGCCAATATTTTAACCTGCTAAATTTTAATTTAATAGGGTTATGTTTATCCTACAAGTTCAGAAGCAATAAATCATTTACTATGGCAACTTATTTTAGATTACGAAACAAATAAGTTTTAATAAACAACTTACACTGTCTAAAAACCGGCAAGCCGGCACGATTCCGACGGGACGACTGACCAGTCGCGGCTCAGGTGAGAAAGAGAAAGTCCGTTCGCATGAAAAATACTATTTGGTTTGGCCCAAGCCCAGGGGGAATCCGTTCAAACCAGTAACTTTTTTTTTTGTTGTACGTGCCCAAATAAGTGCTGTTCTGTTAAAATTTCCGTTCAGGAAAACTCGTCCTCGCCAACCGCGTTATAAGAGTTCACCGTAATTCCGTGGTTTATTTTATTCCAACTCGACCAACTTCTTGTAAAGCAGTTACTCTTAAAGGAAATTGAAAAAACTTCCCTGTTTAAGAAAGTTCGGGATAAGTTTGTAAAAAACAAACTCCACGGATATTGTTAGTAAACGTAGATGAAAGACTGGATTAAGTATATATTGAATTATCCATCCTGCGGATTGTATTGCAGCCATCGACATTTTTCTTAATTAATGAATGAATAATTTAATTAATAAATTTCCTTTTACATTTTTTATAGTGTAAATATTTTGTTTCTAAATTTATATATATTTTTTGGAATGGAACTAATTTTGGCCATGAAGAAGTAATGAGTCGTTGTTGTTCTCCAAGGTTTTTAAAATCGCTGATGTGGCACACCCACAAGAAAAGTGATAAAACTCGACAAAAGCAAATTTTACAGGAGAAACAAATAGAAATTTACTTTTTTGGACTTACGTGTTAACTACACGCCATTATGGTTTTTGGCAACCATGAACCACCATTATTGTCTTTTGTTTCTCGAATACTTAAGTGCAAACACAAAACTTTAAAAATCCGGCTGTACTGCCCCTATAAAACAACCCCTTTTTGGTTCTTGACACTTTTCTTGTATGTATTGGCTCTCAGTAATTTAAGCTAGTTTGCTCAAACTATAATGGTGCTCAATGAATGACTGCAAGGGCATTAATTTTTCGTTATGGTAATAGACAACATACAAACCTAACAAACGAGCATAAATATCCATCTAATAAGTTTGACTAAAATTATTTTTGACCACAATGCGCTTTTCTCCTGGAATAAGAGCTAATTATATACTTGAAATGCAAAATTAATTATTGAAAAAACAAGGGTTTATTGATTATTAAAAAATATGGTAATTAAAACATTAAAAAATCGTTGAAACTACAAAATAATGTAAAAGTTAAAAGACAACATTGTTAAAAAATTACGTAAAAACCATATTATGTATTAAATACCAAAAATAAAAAAAATAGATATACTACTATGTCCCATTGTCTCATCTATTAACAGACAGGAGAAACGTTGGGAAAAGTTGAACTATCAAAATTCATTGGTAATATGTTGAAAAAAAAGTACCTAAATCCTAATCCTAAGTAACTGGTAGAAAGGCTGGTCGATTGCATAGAAGTACCTATTAAAAGTTTTAAGAATACATGAAGATAAACAAAATTGAATTTAAAAAACTATAAGTCATAATTGAATTTCTTAATTATTTCAAAACGATAAGATCAAACTTGCTGCTCGATCAGTCGTAAGCAATTCTTTCCATTCAGAAGGATCACATGGATCCTATTGAGATTTTTGTTTGGAGATATCTAAATTCAGTGAGGATTGGACACACAGCCAAGAAAGGAACAGCATCCTTCCTGAGTTTACACAAAGTACAAATTGAAACATTCCTCGTGGAGAAAGGAGCGTGATTAAAGGTAGAGCAAATCGTATAATCAAAAAGTAATTTTGGCACCATGGCTGAAAGTTTAGTACTATGGGCATTTACGTTTAATAAATTTGGGGCGTATTAATTCCTTGTAAAGTAAAAAACTGTTAAACAGCCGAGGCGACCTCACACACTCTTCTCGATAACATGCCTGATCCTCTGATGGAAAACCATTAACTGAGGATGACCACATCGCACACTACAAGGAAAGTGGCATAACACAAAAAAAAAAAATTTTACATGAAAGGTAAATGGAAATTTTCTTTTTGTTTTTGTGTATTAAGTACATAGTTACTTAAAAAATCTAATTGTACTACAGTTAAAAGCAACCCTTTTTTGAGTTGTGACACTTTTCTTTTATATATTGACTCTCAGGAATTTAAGTTTTCAAGTCATATCGCACACCCACAAGAAAAGTGACACAACTATAGAAAAGAAAATTTTACAGGAGAGACAAATGAAGTTCACGACATTATTGTTGTTGGCAATAAAAACTGTCATGATCTATCAATATTCTATTTCGTTTCTCCATTATTTAAGCGAAAACACAAAACTTTTAAAATCTAACTGTACTAGCCATAAAAAAACAATCCCTTTTTGAGTTGTGATACGTTTCTTGCATATATTGGCTCTCAGGAATTTAAGTTTGTTTGCTTTAATGGGAATGGTGGTCAACGAATGAATTTAAAGTAATTATTTTTTTGTTATGGTAACAGGCAACATACAAACCTAACAAATGATCATCAATATCCATGTAGTAAGTTTTACTAGAATTATTTTTGACCACAATTTGCTTTCCTCCTTGATACAAGGCTAATTGGTTATTTGAAATACAAAATTAATTATTAAAATAAAGGGTTTATTGATTGCTAAAAATATTATAATTAAAACATTAAAAATAGTTTAAACTACAAAATAACGTAAAATTAAAAATTAAGTCACAATGTTGAAAAAATTATGAAAAAACAATATTTTAATTTAGATTATTATTAAAATAATAGAAATGAAACTAAAATAATTCATATACACTAGATCAAGTTATGGTCTTGAAGAAAACTGCAAATTCAGTTGTTAATGCCAAGCTTTTGACCTATTTTATGGTAAACATCAAGACCTATATTAATTTCACATGACGAAAAATATATTTGTACAATTGTTTTTCATAATGGGAAAATGGGGCTCCGGTGCAGGATAAAATCCTTCACTAAACAAGAAAAAACTAGCATAACTCGAAATTTGCCACTTTTTCTGATGAATACGCACACCGACGCTTTAAAGCTCGACAAAGAACGAAGATATGCCACTTTCCATGAATGGTGACAGTACTTTCCCAGTTCAAAAGTAACACATTGTGTTGACTAGCAGCTAAGAGTCTACCTACAGCTGTATCATTTTTCTTGTAGCATCATAGACCCGAAAAGTTCAAAAAATAAATAAATAATCTGATTTTTAGAATTTTTCGACATGTGGGTGTGCGGCATGTCCCAGTCTTCTCAGAGAGAGAGAGAGAGAGAGAGAGAGAGAGAGAGAGAGAGAGAGAGAGAGAAAGAGAGAGAGAAAGAGAGAGAGAGAGAGTGAGAGGGAGAGAGAGAGAGAGACGGAGAGAGAGCGTGAGAGATAGTGATAGATAGTGATAAAAAGTAAATAAAAAGAGAATGAAAGATGGATTTACAAATAAATAAATTAAAAAAAAAAATATATATATAGAGAGAGAGAGTGAGTGAGAGAGAGATAGAGAGAGATTGTGAGAGATAGTGGTAGATAGTGATAAAAAGTAAATAAAAAGAGAATGAAAGATGGATTTATAAATATATATATATATATAGAGAGAGAGAGAGAAAGAGAGAGTGAGAGAGATAGATAGAGAGAGATTGCCATATCAACATAGAGAGAGAGAGGTGGGAAGAGAGAGTGAATGTGAAAATGAAAAACAGAGAGTGAGAAAAAAGAGAAAATTAAATATGCAAAAAGAAAGAAAGAGATAATAAGGGAGAGAGAGAGATTGAAAAATAAATAGATAGATAAAAAAATAGATTGATAGAGAAGGAGAGAGAGAAAAAGACAGTGAGAGCGTGAGATATAGTGAGAAATAGTTCGAAAAAAGGAAATAAAAAAGAGAATGAAAGTTGGATTTGGATAGATAGATAGATAGACATAGATAGATAGATAGATACATAGATATTTAGATAGATAGATAGATAGATAGATAGATAGATAGATAGAGAGAGAGAGAGAGAGAGAGAGAGAGAGAGAGATTTTATTTATTTTTTGACGAACGTTCTGACATTTTTCCCTTCCTTTATTTGCGTTGGTTTGATTGAAATTGAATTCTAAAACTCTAGAATTTTATCATTAAATGAAATGGTTTTATAACCTTTAATTATTCTGATCAACATCTTAGTTCGATCCTCAGTTTGTGAACTTTATTTTTGTTGGTAAAGGCAGAGCACGTTAGGATCGGAAGGATAGCTCCCTTATAGATTGCTCCCTTGTGGCACGCCGGATTATATTGGTCTTATATCCGAGTATCCGTGGCTGTACATCACTCTGAAGCCTCTTCCATTTTAAATTAGCAAAACATCTTGTAAAACCACAATCCCTCGAACGAAACTCACAAACCTTAACTAATCTTTTATCTGACTGTGTAAACAAGCTTCAAAACAAATAAGGATAAAATAGACCTATTGAAAATCGCTGCGGATCTTTTTACAATGACTGAATAATTTTATGGGATCAATTGCAATACACGATTTTTGCACATCCAGTTATTTTTGGTTTTGCATCAATTGCTCAATATTATTAGATCAAAATCAGATTATGGATTCATTTTAAGGTAGGTGAAATAAAGACATGCATGCTAAAACGTCATATTGACCTTATAATGACGCAGTATCTGCTTTAAATTAATTTTTGAATAAAAAATCCAAAACCTTAACTATACGCTGACTATGAACTAGATTATCGACCTGCTGGATACAAGAAGTCTTTTCAGAGGATCTTCNGATCTGTGATCCTACTTTATTGTTTTTAAAATAAGTTAATTGTATATGTATATATATATTGGGGAACGTACTGTGATCATTTGTACCTGAAAAACTAAAAAAAGGTGGATTTTATTGGTTTTTTAGACTTATATGAGGTAACCTTTCTCGACCACGTTTTTAACTTTATTTTTACTGTAATTTTAGCTAAAATTTTTAATTGTTAATGTATTCTATTTAAATCAATATTTAGATGCTGAGCCGAAAAAAACATAATGTACTTCTGTGCCCAAAACACCATGTTTAATTTCCTATTAAGGTTTTAA